AACAATATATTTTCTACAAATAAAACATCATATTTCTAATCGAATTAGTGCGTAGAATAATTAAAATGTAACCTCACACGAGGCGATAACGACTGTTAACAACCATCACGACTGATTAACCCGAGAAGGTTGCTGAATAAATCATGCGGGCTCCATTGAGACGGTCCACAATTATACTCACAACGAACGGGTGCTTTCACTTTTAAATTCTTTTTTTTTCTTTTACGATAGTAAATGGTGGCAAACGAGTAAGCGGCCATACTCTGAACAACCAAATTAAAAAGTTAGGTGCACTGCCTTTAATGGATAGAAGAGGGAATTACAGAAAGAGAATATTTCTCTTCTTAATTGTCCCTTCCCCGGTCAAACCTTTCCCCATTCCCATACTTTTTATTTCGTTATAAGAAAAAAGTGGAAAGGGAAGAACAACCAATACTTCAATGGTCAAGAAACATGTTTTTAATAGTAGAAAAAACGTATCTCTTTTGATATTATACCTATGATAATTAAAGAAATAAAACTACATAGTAATAGTATCACTTAAACCATTCTATATTCGAAATTAAAACTTAAATTTATTACAGTACGATATATTTTAGATTGAATATTACAAGTATTGAAGATTGTATGATAATGTAATTAATGCTTATCTCGATACAAGGGCTTATGAAAGCGTATTCAAACCTCTATAAGGAGTCATTGTCCGGTCCCGACGGACGACCTCCATAAGCGAGAAACTTAGGTTAGAGAGAAACCTCTATAAGCGAGAAAAATATCGCGATCCTTACGACTCTCGCTTGTTCAGATTCGCTTTTATATCTGGCTGTCGATCGCAAACCCCGTTCGTGCGGAATTAAAAAAAAACTTAATTAGTAGCCTATGTGTTCTTCCAGACTTCTATCTATGCCAAATTTCATAGAGATCTGTGCAGTCGTTTTGGGTATACCTTCAAACATCCATCCATCCATCCATCCATATCTTAAAGTTACTTTCACAATAACAAAACTAGTTAATTAAGTACCGGATTTAACGAGATATTAAGTTTCATAACAATATTCTGATTTAAAAATAAAAAAGGCATTTAAATTAAAATATCAATTAATTTGTTTTGCAAGATAAATGCCTTAAATTGATGAATATGACCATTATTGTTAATATTACTAATAAGACGACATTTTTCACAATTGCGTGCAATGTAAAAAAAATTGTAAATATTTGGCTTAAATGAGGTCGAATGCAATCATTGTGTAAGATAGTTTCTGCATTTTTATACTTTTAAATGCAATAATGGTAAATGATTAAATCGCGGTTTGACACTACGTAAGTACGTAACTAAAGACCATAAAACTTATCAGTATAGGATAAATCATTTATGTTAAGAATTAATTTATTTACTGTGTCAACATTAGTTAACGAATAACCGTGGGTTTCTGACATCAAAAGCTATGTATAAAACATATTGCCATCCTTGTCAACACAGAGATAACAATATATTTTAAACGGCAATTTTGAACTCAGAAACCCACGGTAAATAAACATAATTATTATTATTTAACAGGAAACTAATCATATTACAAATAAAGATTAAACATTTATTATGTTCACGTAATTGTAGAAAATAAATGGAGCTAATCATCATAAAATTTTACAAACGTCATGAAACGAAATTAATTTATTAACAAAAGAAAGTATTCTATATGGATGAGTTAATAAAAACAAAGGCGTTACAATGATGGCGTAACAATTAAACGCGGGATACATCGCCGGATAATGGTTTAACCAGTGACAAATAGTCCTCTTGCGTAACTACACAAAGAACAAGATTGGGCAGAAATGGTACACATCTTTATTTGTCATCAACTTTAAAGATTGTTCTAGAATATTCCAAAAATCTACAACTTTATTCCATTGATTTTAAATGAGAGAAATAGCTAGTTAATATACACAACAGTGAATATTATCTTTGATTTGTCTTTATAAGACGACACTTTATATTTTTAAATGTCGGAATGCATTTATCATCGAATTTTCTAACAAATATTTTAGGTTATGCGAACTGACAGAATTTACTTTTTATTTTTATAAAAAAAGACAAACTTATTAACCAGTACTTCAGATTTCTTTTGTATTTCAAATTGGGTCATTTATGCTTGCATGGAGTTCGATGCATTTTAAATATCTAGTATCCCAATGGACATGAAATCCGGTGCCGGGTGGTCCATGGTGCATTATGTATGAGGTGTTATAACCCGATAATGACGCTGTATGTCGCAAATCCTTTGTGTAACGCGTGCTCTGTTAATTATATACTTACTATCTGTCGCCGGAGTCTCCGTCAGCGCGAAATTAAAAATAATAATTAGTAGCCTATGTGTAGTTCCAGTCTATGTTCTACGTCTATGCTAAATTTCATAGAGGTATGCAGCCGTTCTAAAGGTACTTTTTACATTCATCCATCTAAACTTACGCGTTTGTAATATTAGCTAGATTGCGGTTCAATTATATTGCAAGAATTACTAATGTCATCATAAATGTAAACCTTCAATTTTTTTTCTTTAAAACGTATATTTTTTTTATTTAATATAAGAAATTGTATTGTCTTTTTATTGTTTTTATATTTAATAAATAAAATTAAAACCTCTTTGTTAGTAGAAGTTTTACAGAAACTTTTTGTATCTGTTAAAATATTTAAAAAAAGTTGTCGTCGTTTTATGAATTAAAAAT